GAAAGACACAGGAATTGATGAAAAAGTACCAAACAATTTCCTGCCCAATCATTCCTGCCAGCAATAAGCATGACCCTTAGGAGATCCCGTTAGAGAAGTAACAGGAGAGCAACGGGTTCCTCAACCCATTTCAGAAACCTTCAGCTCCCCAGTAGCCTCCAAGGACAGACCAGCTCAACATGACTCCACAGGTAAAGGAAAAAGTTTAAACCACCTAACTGCTTAAAGAATCAAGGGGGCTTCCCTGGTGGCACAGTGGTTAAGAATCTGCCTGCCAATGCAAGGGACACAGGTTCGAGCCCTGGCCCGGGAAGACCCCACATGCCACGGAGCAACTAAGCCCATGCACCACAACTACTGAGCCTGAGCTCTAGAGCCTGCAAGCCACAACTACTGAGCCCACGTTCCACAACTACTGAAGCCTACGCGCCTAGAGCCCGTGCTCCGCAGCAAGAGAAGCCACAACAATGAGAAGCCCACCCACCACAACAAAGAGTAGCCCCCGCTCACCCCAACTAGAGAAAGCCCACACACAGCAACGAAGACCCAATGCAGCCAATAAATTAATTAATTAATTTTAAAAAAAAAAGAATCAAGGAACGTGGGTGCTGGACAGGAGACCAAAAGTCACATGTCCAACCCTCCTCATTTTACAAAAAAGAGGCAGATGAGCCTACTGTCTTTAAAGAACCATGGGTTCTCCCTCAAATGGTAGCAAACAAGCCGAGAAGGGGCACATATCAGTGTGTGTTGTAGCTCTGTCCACCCTAATGGTGGTCTGATAAGGCTGTCAGTCCCACTGCACTGATTCTAGGTAAAGCATGTGATTCTAGATGGAGGTCATTCATCCTCAAAGCAGAGAGCTACAAAATAACTTAAATGAAGGCAAGACCAGATAGAGTTCTGTTTATTCCTTCTGGCCTCATTTTGTTCTGACCCTTCTGTAAAGCCTGTGAGAGGAAAGATGTTAAGGAACTGCTAGGAGAATGGGATGCACTGCCATCCTCCACTTTCCAAGGAACACCTACTATAGAGGGCAACAGCTATCAAAATCATGAAGGCACAGCGCCCTCTGACCCAGCAAGTCTTTACTTTGAGGAACTAATCCTACAAATACATTCATGTGGACCAAGTGTTCACAACAGCAAAAGACTGGGAGCAAGCCTAACATCCATCAATAGGGGGTAGGGTCGCAGAATTACTTAAGGTACAACTACAAGGTGCAATATCATAAAATTGCAAAAAATAAAAAAACCTACCAGGAAGTTCTTTATGTTATAAGAAATGATGAAATGATCTCTATGAGATTCTGCTGCACAAAAAAGCAAGAGGCAGGACAAAAATAGAGTATTTTACTATTTATATTTTTTAGAAAGAGGGGATTGAGGGCATGTATGGACAATTTGCTTACATATGCATAAAACATCTCTGGAAGGATGTGCAAGACACTGGCAACACTGATTTTTAGCTGCTCCAGGAAGAGAAAGTGGGTGGCGGGTTGAAAAGAGTGGGAAGGAGTCATCCCACTGCACACCCTTCCTTTCATGTCTTTTGATTTCTGAATCAGGTGAATGCATTACCTAGTCAAAAAATACTTTTCTCTTTAAGATGTTTAAAGATCTGCTCTTTTAAGAAAGAGTGCAAATAGATAATAGCCTTTTTTCACCCTGCAGTTTTACGTGGCCAAAGAAAGAACATGCTGGCAAACCCAAGCGTGGCCCCTAATGTTAAAGTACTAACACTTTCTCTGAGCCTTCCTACCAGAGCTGGAAATGACTGAACCAGCTGTATTCACAAGCCTTTTCTTAAGATTAAATAGATAAACTTCTGCTAAGTTACTTGGTTTCATTTCCTTAGAAAACTAAGTATGTTTACTAACAGAGCTAAGTTGCTTGACAGATACCCGTCTGCTGAAATTTGTGCACAATGTTGTTTTAATGCTCCGATGCCAGGACACGACCGGTGCTCTGTAACTCTCTGTGATAAATACATGACAGGCTGGCTAGCAGATATGTGAATGGATGAGTCTGAACCATTATTATTGATGCTTAGACAGCTGTGGTGTCTATAAAATGCTAATGTGAGCATCATATGGTGTAAAGACATTTTTCAAGTAAACAAAAGTAACACTGCTGAAATACTCCTACAGGTCAGGGAAATTTCAGTTCATGACTAAAATTCTATTACCAACATTTGAACTTCATGTCTGCTTTTATCACAGTTAATCAACAGTGGACTCTAGCTAACCCCCAGTTCTGTATCAGGTACAAAGGAAGATAAACCAGACTCTGTGTTCTCATAAAGCCTTCATCTGAATCCTAAACATACAGGCCCAGAGGCACAGACACAAACCCTCACACGGACACAGCTCCAGGCAAACTCTACTGCTCTCAGTCTCATACCAACCTAGTAAAATGTGCTACCAGGCCGGATGGACACCGACAGGACCAAAGTGTGGAGCTCACAAGCAAGGTGACACAGGGCCTGCACATAAGACTTAAGAATTATGACAGTACATTATGGGGTGGCAGGATGCTACTAAAATCTCACAGAGCCACCCATTACATGGCTTAATTCACACAGAAATGTTGGTTTTTCTGAGGAAGTAGAAAATCCATTAAACATAATCAGACAGAAAGTCCTACCTCTGCAAAAATACGGAAAGTTTCACAGTTAAAGCTTGGCTTCCCTCACGTTCAAGTGGGTGGCATTCATGTTGGAAAAGCATCTCAATGCAGAGTTACCACCAGCACTACTAACAACAACCCATCTACCCACACAAGTGTTTGAAGGTTTGGTGGTGTACTCACAAAATATTTGCATGACTAAATGCTACTGTCAGATTTCAGAGAGGCATTTAAACACATTCTTGTAGCAAATTTACTTCCACTCTTACTTTTAAAACACCAATGAAAACTACCCAATAACAAGTTATTAGAGGGACTATAAACCTTTAAAAATGAATTTTCATCAAATTAACGTAAGAATCAGCTAATTCTTATAATTAATGCTTTTTAATTAGGTTGGAAATATTGAGAGGCATCCAAAAAAGCGCCTACTTACATCAACACCTAAAGGATGCTCCCAGTCTAATTTTTTTTTTTTCCCAATCTAATTTTGTGCTGAGCTATCCCTTTAACTGGTTTCTCAAATATATCCACTGCAACTGTATCACTATAGAAACAGATCCACTCAGGTAAGTCAGAGAAATAGGACCTGTTAGATGAAAGGTTTATTAAAAATATTAAAAATTTAAACCAGCCTAGGATTAAATAAACTATCACCTCACTACACTGAGAACTCGAGAAAGAAGTGAGATAACTGAAACTTGAAAGTATGATGGATGAAAAATTAGAAACCAAACAGTCTCTCTCCTCTCATCAAATGAGCTCACCAGGGATCAGAAAAGCAAGTGTTTTCAAAGGCCAAGAAAGGAAGCTGCCTTAGGAAACCAACTGCTGTCCCTTTCCCCCCACTTCCTGGGAAGACAAAACATAGGAATTATATCATCACAGACTTTCCAGCTAAGATATGCTGAATATGCTCCAGCAAAGCAGGCCAACTTGAGCACAAAGCGATCCCTTCTCACAGTGAGACCAGACTAAGCCACATGTATTTTCTACGGCTTTATCTATCTTCCTGGTTGAAGAATATATAATTGGAATCCATGTTGCAAAACCAGTGAACACCTAGATAGGTGAGATTTGACCTTACAGGTGACTGCATAGGAGAAACAAGATGTAAAAATCACAACCAGAGGCTAGACTCAAACTATGAGCGCTAGAAAGAACAGGAAGCACACAGTGATCGTTAACTCTCCAATGCCAGGTACTATGCTTAAAGCTTTACACATACGTTTTCATTTCATCCTACAATTCTGTGAAGTAGGTACCATTATGAACTCCCTTTTACAAATGAGGGAACTGAGGCATAATGAGGGTTAAGCAACATGTTTAAGGTCACACAGGGTAGCAGGTGGTAGGCCTGCAGCTGGAACGCAGACGGTGTGCATCCAGAGACTGGCTCTTTTCCAGTTCACAACACTGCTACGTGAAAAGGGCCTCCTTCCTTGGGAGAAGGACGTCGTCAGAGGAGCTGCTGGCTCAGAGAAGTTCCTTCCCAGGGTTACACTCACTGCCAGCAGGGTCAAGACCCAGCAAACTGGAGGAAAAGCAAAATAAAACGAACCTTTATCCCTCTCCCCCGATTCCACTGGAAGAGAAAGAGTTCTGTAAGTCAGCTTTAAGACTAAGTACTTGGCCTGCAGTCAGGATGGTAAAATATTAAGTAGTGATAAAATTGAGTCATCATGCAAAGAATTTCAATTAAAAACTTGTCTCCTTGTTTCTGGCTGGAAGAGTATCAGAGGCACTTTTACAAACTGTGGATAAGAATGTAAATTTTGATGCAACCTTTTTAGAAGGCAACTTGGCAATGTCCATCAACCCTCTGACCAAGCAACGTAATTGCTAGCGGTTTATCCTAGAGATTTACAAGTTGCAACACGCACTGTAGCACTGTCTATAACGGCCCAAACAGGGAAAGCAACCTAAATGCCCACTAGTGAAGAGACTGGTTAAGCAGACTACGGGTTGTAAGCATCGCTGGAATTCTAGGGAGAGGGAGCTCACATGGAATGCTCTCCAGGGTACGTTACTGAATAAAAACGTTGGGCACAGAACAGTATGTACACTATGATCTCATTTCAACAAAGGTATGTTTTTTAGTGTATAAATGTACCTATATATGCATTAAAATTTTCTAGATGGATACCTAAAAACTGTTAATAGTTTCTTCTGTGGAATAGGGCTGGGGGAAGGGAAGAGAAAGAAAACAATTACTTATCATTCTGAACTACCTGAATTATTTTTAACCAGGCTGATATATATTGCCTGAACACATCTTTTAAAGATATATGAGATCTCTAATTTTTAAATTGCCTTTAAAAAAATGAAATCCATGTTCTTTTTTGTTAATTGCACATCTTGCTATTTTTGTACCTTGTTTCCTTCGTACACCCATCCCAGACTCTTCACACCAAAAGCAGCCTGGTTGGAGGAGACATCTAGACATGTGACAGGCTGCCCATAGACATAATGGAGGGTTCTGGCAGAGTCTTCGGCTTTTAGCAGGTATACCAGATCTCCAGCAGTGGCTACGGCCACAGGATACCTTCCAGTATCTGGAACTATTTCAAGGTAGTCAACCTGTTAAAGAATAAGAGTCATTTCAGTCCTTCAGGTCTCGCCTACAATTCATCCTGACTTGCTCAAAAATACACAATTCCTCCTACACGTCAATGAGAAGACCAGCAACCCAACAGAAAAAGACGGGCCAAGGGCCAGTTCACAGGAAGTGAAACACAGCTCCTACACAAATGAAAAGATGCTCATCGTAAAAGAAACACAACATACTCCTAACAAGAGAAATAAAAGGTGAAAATTCACCAAGATAGCACTTTCATCTGTCATATCAGTAAAGATCAATTAGTCTGATAAGACACTGGGTGGGAAGCGGAGAGGGGACAACCACATTTATGGATCCCATTAAGGTTGGTGGGATGAAATCTGGTCCAAAATCTGGGAACACTTAACACAATGTTAGATGAGCATATGCTCTGACACAGCAAGTCACTTCTAGGAATTTATTTACAAATAAACGCACATTTATGCAAAACGACTGTGTACAACATTATTTGCGGTAGCACTATTTGGTCATAGCTAAAAACTAGAAAACCCTAAACATGCCTTACTAAGGGACTAATTAAGTAACTTACAGTACATCCATGTATTGGAATACCATGTGGTCACAGAAAAAAGCAGGAAGACAACCTTTATAAACTCATACAAACGGGGTCACCTCTAAGATAAATTTGGGGGAAAAAACAAGGTAACAGGATTCACAGTGTGCTACTATGTGTAAAGGTGGGGCAGAGGAAGCCTGTGACACGCTTGTCTTATACGTGCACAAATCTAACTAACAACGGCTGCCTTCAGGGAGGGAAATGAGTTGTGGGACAGAGTGGAAAGGAGATTCTCACTGTAAACCTTATTGTGTCTTTTAAATTCTGAACCACGAGGCCAGAATAACTATTCAAAAATAAGTTAGTTTTTATTTTTTTCACAAGAAACTGAATAAATAACATAAAATTCACTCAGTTCCAAATTAGCCAGAATCACATTTTATTTATTTATTTAGTTAGTTAGTTAGTTAGTTAGTTAGTTAGTAAGTACGCAGGCCTCTCACTGTTGTGGCCTCTCCCGTTGCGGAGCACAGGCTCTGGACGCTCAGGCTCAGCGGCCATGGCTCAGGGGCCCAGCCGCTCCGCGGCATGTGGGATCTTCCCGGACCGGGGCACGAACCCACGTCCCCTGCATCAGCAGGCGGACGCTCAACCACTGCGCCACCAGGGAAGCCCTGAAATCACATTTTAACATTTGTGCAAATAGTAAAAATGTGTTCCTAAAAGGTTAAAAGCACCCGAGTTATCTACTTTCTCCCGGTTTCAATGCCATCCTAGGGTAGGAAGGCCACTGCAAGCACTTTTATGCCACACAGTCCTCCGGCCGCATCACTGCTACTACTTTCTCTAATCTACGTGGGTATGAGGAGCTGCCTTTAAGAGTAACTTGTTTTCCTATGTTCGTTAAGTGGCATGCTTCCCCCGGGTGCAGTTTACATCAGGTTTTCACCACCCTGGGTAAATTCTCAGAGTACAGAAGCAGAAGGTAAGCCACCTATGTGATTATGAAAATCCACGGTCCCTGACAAGAAGCCAAACGAGTTCAAAGGCCTGAATCCTGAGAACTGTCCAGAAGCGCTTGAGAGAGTAAACATCTGGGTGGCTCTGCTAGCCCTGAGGACCCACAGTGTGAGTAGTGGCCCCACATCCCCAGCTGAGGGCCCATCGCGAAGGACAGCTGTTCTAGGCCAGTATTACCAACCTGGGAACACTGCCACTGTGATTCAGGGAGCCTATCTGAGGAAGACAAAGATGGCCCGCCTTTTCCAGAGACAGTACTTTCTGTGGCCAGCCCTCATCCAGGGTGAGAAATAATACATAAAGAGCGTTATAACACAGGGCTCCAGCAATGGCTGCTTCATTCCTCTCTCCCCCATCCTAAAAACCACTTCTTGCTTTCCTAAAATCAACATCCTCAGTCTAGCCATTTAATTCACCTTTGTGCTGGATGTGTGATAGACCAAGAGGCTCAGACTGACTGCGGTTGTGCCATCTTCTGGGAACTGTAAACAACTTCAGAAAGCTTCCGGTCGGTGCCAGGATGCCACCTTATTGCCAAGGCCGGATTTGCACTTTCTGAAGGGACTCACATCTCAAGTAATTGTCTGAGTTCATATAGCTATTGTTGATCTACAGTGTTCTTTAGGCAGAAACCAAATAACAAGCACTATGTAGTTTTGAGAACAGACAGAAATAAACAGGCTCTATGTAATGAACTAGTAAGGTTAACTGAGCTTCACACATGATGTCATGGAAAATGGCTACCCAATTAACACTGACTTGAATCTATACTCACTCAAGAGTTACCCTTAATACCAAGTGAGAAAATCTTCGGATGGAGAAAGTGTAGGATGGAAACTTTCTTTCCCATATAGCCTGCGACGGTACCACTGAACTCATCTTCACTTATGTATAAGGCCAGATCCTGATCTCAGATTTCCAGGGGTGAACGTTCTGTTAATGTGAAGGAGGCTGAGGACCACAGTGATGAGAAACTGCAACCCCGATGTCAGCCCTGAGGTCAGAATCACAACTTCTTATCATGCGCAAGTCAATTCACTGCTCTAAGACTTTATTGGCTGCTTGGTAAATGAGGAAAATACAACAACTTATTTTGCAAGGCTGCTGTGAGATTTATGGACGTGAGGCCCACAGAAAGCCCTGAGTGAATGAGCACTGCCAACATCATTACTATCTGTTTATATCAGACCCAGAGATTCTAAGAATGAAAAATAAAAATGACCAAACTAAAAGCTCACCAGTTTCTGAACTTCAAATTCTGCAGCTATTTGCCAATATCCCTCCTCATTGGGGCATAACATTACGACATCAAAAGCAGAAGCTGTGGCAACAGTTGCATCTTCCTGGCTGAGGGCTAGTGCTTGTATTCTTGCATCATGCTCAAAACGATGAATAGGATACCTTCCAGTCCTTAGGTCCCAAATATTAAGAAATCCTATGTAGAAAAAAAATTCAAGTAACAATTTTAAATTCATTTAGTATGCACAATTATAAAATAATCATGCAACATAAAGAAAATATAAAAGATAAATAATAAATTGGTAAAAAAAATCTGCATTACATATAACAAAGAGCCTATTTCCTTAATATATAAATAGCTTCTAAGATTCAATAAGAAAAAAGCAACTGAAAAGTGAGCAAAGGACATGAGTGTGCTATGGTATTCATAGAAAAAGAAATGTAGTTGACATATAAACATTTTAAAAATTCACTCACAATTAGAAAAATTAAAATAGGATACTATTTTTCACCAATCAAATGGACAAAGACAAAAAATTTCATAAAATGTTTTGTTTTTGAGGATATAGGGAAACAGGCTTTCTCTTAAATTGTTCATAGGAATGTGAACTATTTCACCTAACTCTGGAGGCAATTTGATAATATCTACCAAATCACAAATGTATATAAGATAGTTACTACGTTTTTAATTATGTCAAAAGGTTGGAAGCTATCTAAATGTCCACCAATAGAGAAATACTTAATAATGGTATCTCCATAGTTTGGAATTTAAATAAATTGAGCAATTAAAAGAGTCAGCCTTATACATGAGCTATACAAAATGATCAACAAAATATACTGTTAAATGAAAAAAGGACAGAATAGTGGTATAGTATGCTATGTTACTTTTGCATTTTAAAAAATGTACACGCACACATACACACAAATGTATACACAGACTATCCTGGAAGGATACTTAAGAAACTTAACAATGAAAAAGAAATTGTTAAGAATTGTTACGGCCTCTGAGGAAAGAAACCAGGGAAAAGGGACAAGAGTAGGAGAGAAATTTACTGTAACATCCCCTTGTATATTCTGAAAAATTTCCCCCAAATTATCCTTGCCAAAAAGATCAATTTTTAAAAAATGCTTCTATGAGAGAGAACAAGAAGAATGGGAGGACATAATTGCTGAGTAGTTTTAACATATGGAGTTCTTAATTCATTCCCTTATTTGTCTATTTATGCAACAAATAATTTTTTTCTAGTTTTGTTAAAATATAATTGACACAGATTATATAAGCTTAAGGTGTACAACAGAATGATTTGATATATGTATATACTGTGAAATGATTACCACAATAAGTCTAGTTAACATCACCTCACACAGTTCAAATGTCCTTTTCCTTATAATGAGAACTTTTAAGATCTATTCTCTCAGCAACTTTCAAATATACAATACAGTATTATTACCTATAGTCATCATGCTCTACATTACATCCCCAGAACTTATTTATTTTATAACTGGAAGTTTGTACCTTTTGACCACCTTCAACTAATTCCTCTACCCCGGCAACCACAAATCCGATCTCTGTTTCTATGAGGTTCTTCTTTTTTTTTAAGATTCCACATATAAATGAGATCATACAGCATTTGTTTTTTTCTCTTATCTCACTTAGCATAATGCCCTCAAGATCCATCTATGTTGTTGCAAATAGCAGGATTTCCTCCTTGGTTATGGCTGAGTAGTGTTCCACTGTATACATACACCACATCTTCTTTATCCACTCATCTGTCAATGGATGCTTAGGTTGTTTCCAGGTCTTGGCTATTGTGAGTGAACACGAGGGTGCAGATATCTCTTCAACATAGTGATTTCATTTCTTTCAGATATATACCCAGAAGTCAAATCGCTGGATCACATGGTAGTTCTATTGTTAATTTTTTGAGGAAACTCCATACTGTTTTCCACAGTGGCTGCACCAGTTTACATGCCCACTAACACTGCATGAGGGCTCCCTTTTCTCCACATCCTCACCATTTGCTATCTCTTGTCTTTGATGATAGCCATTCTAAGAGGTGAAGTAACATGCAAGAAATTATTGAGCACTTTTTATATGCCAGGCACTGACCTAGACACTAGCAACATCTGAAAACAGCCACTAACCCACATTCTAAGAGGTTCTTTTAAGTATTTTACATCCCTCCTCACCACCACCTTCTTTGAGCCACAGTTAGCAGAGATGTTTTATTTTGCATAGTCTAAAACATGAGCTTGACTATCCCAGACTTGTTAAAAAACATGATTTAAGGAATTCCCTGGCAGTCCAGTGGTTAGGACTCCACGCTTCCACTGCCGGGGGCCCGGGTTCAATCCGTGGTCAGGGAACTAAGATCCTGCAAGATGCATGGGTGGAGCAGCCAAAAAAAAAAAAAAAACCACCACAATTTACCCACATACTATACACCCTTCTCCCCAGCCCCCTGAATGCTGCTCCCCAGATGAATTCCTCTTCCACACACTGGCTGTGTCTCCACCCTTCTCAAACTGTCTACAGCAATGATATCCAAGTGTAGACCCTGGACAAGCAGCATCAGCAACACTTGGGGGCTTATTAGAAATGCAGGTTCTCGGGCAGCAAACTCTGGGATATATGCCCAAGTTTGAGAACCAGCTGTCTGCAGGAACTTACACTTTTCTATCAGAAATATAAACTTTTCTGTATTTGGAGGGCCACTTATTCTTTTCTTGCCAAATAATTTCTTTTTACCACTCCCATCCACTAAGCTACCTTTTTACCCACAAAGCTTCATTCAAGAAAATAATTACTTTCTGCATCATGCTGGATAATGTCCTGTTCCAATTCCAAATGATTTTATTTTTCAAAAATCACTGAAAATAATTGTGTGCAGATAACACAGTCTGTGGTTGTTTGAGTTCAAATCCAGCTCCGCTGCTTGCTAGCTGAAGGCCTTGGGCAAGTTACTTAAAGCTGAGAGCCTGTTTTTTCACCTGTAAAACTGAAGGTAACATTACCCATTACACAGGACTGTTGGGCAAATTAAAGGAGATAAACCACACAAAATATTGGAGACAGACCAAGCATTTCTACATTTTTATGTATTCTGTAGTGCCTGCTATGTTATAGAGCATATTTAATCTATTAATAACACTAATCTCCTCTCTACTGCCCATCCATAAATCCAGTCCTATTTCCTACAACTTTCTAAAATAAAGCTTTCACTTCTCATCTTTTTGCAATCCCTCTTCCCGTTTTTCTTGTCTTGTACTTTGTCCTTAAACAGTAAATGCTTTGAACTTAGGATCTTACCATAAGGTATCATTCATCACTAAATAAATACATCGAGTCAGAAGAAAAAAATACTTGTGTGTTGCTTTGCAAGCCTTTCAAACTGTCAGTAGGCTAAGTAGGTGATTACAAACAAAAGCAGAGCTTTCTTCAAATGTTGCTTCAGATGTAAAACAGTGCACTCTTCTAAGAATTATGATAAACTTGGGGGATAAGCAGATTGCAGAAGGCTCCCACAACACATTCCTCTGGCAAACAGTTTAGCTAATTCTTTCCATTTTGACTCAGAAGAAGCAGATACACTGCAAAAAATGCCAATGACTCTACACATTAAATAGGAGACAGGCACATTCCAGGATGTGCCTCTTCCAAATAGGCCTGCACTGCATTTGTTTGCAGACATTACAATAAAACAGTAAAGCAACCACTATTGCATGAAGCCTCTGAGTGTTCAATCACTTGTCTCCTCTCCTTCAGCGCTAACTTCCATCTTGGGAAGAGCATCATTATCTTCGTTTGACAAAACAGAAGAAACAGAAGCTCTGAGTGGTTCAACAACTGGTCCAAAGCCACTTGGTACATGAGGTGGCTGGGCTGGAAGTTAGCTAGAAAGTGCAGGATGAGGGCTTCCCTGGTGGCACAGTGGTTGAGAGTCCGCCTGCTGATGCAGAGGACACGGGTTCGTGCCCCGGTCCGGGAAGATCCCACATGCCGTGGAGCGGCTGCGCCTGTGAGCCATGGCCGCTGAGCCTGCACGTCCGGAGCCTGTGCTCCGCAACGGGAGAGGCCACAACAGTGAGAGGCCTGCGTACCGCAAAAAAAAAAAAAAAAAGACAGTGCAGGATGAGCGGCTGCATTTACAAGTGCATGAAGTAACCATGAGTCCATAAGTAATCGACATAAACTTAACCTGTGTTCTGCCAAGTGTGGAAGTTATTCAACCACAGCTCACTCGAAGCACACATGGAGTTTATCTATAAACACATTTTTCATTACTAATCAAGTACTGGTTTTGTTGGCTTCATTTCCCCAACAGAATTGTATGCAACAAAATACCCTTTACCACAAGGTTGCAGAGCTATTCTAAGAAGGGTCTTTTTAGAAAATATATTCTAGGTGCCATCTATTTAATGGTCACATCCTTCTCTTCTGAATGCCTGTTGTGTCATGATCTTTGTCTGTTTTCTCTACTGCAGCTATTAAGTGTATAACTCGGCCAGATCCTCACTTGTCATCAGTGCCACTACCGTTTGCACAGTCCTCCAAGATCACTTTTAGGTGCATTAACATTTAGGATTGTTGTGTCCTCTTGATGAAGTGACCCTGTATTACATGAAATGTCCCTCTTTGTGTTATGTTCTTTGCTCTGAAATCCACTTTGATATTGATATAGTCACTCCAACTTTCTTTCAGTTAGTGTTAGCATGCTATGTGTTTTTCTGTCCTTTCATTTTGCGTTGTGTCTTTATATCTAAAGTGGGCTTCTTGTAGATGGCATTTAACTGATCTTGCTTTTAACTGGGGTATTTAGACTACTTATCTTTAATGTGATTATCGGTAAGGATGGGTTTAATCTACCATTTTGCCGCTTGTTTTCTATCTGTCCCATTTGTTCTTTGCTCCCTTTGTCCCTCTTTTTCTGCCTTCTTTTGGGCTGAGTATTTGGATTAATTATGTGTTTACTTCATTTTAATTCCTTTGTTGGTTTATTAGCCAGAACTCTCTGTGTTGATTTTAGTTGTTGCTGTGGGGTTTTAGCACGCATCTGTAACCACCAGTCTCCCTTCAAGCGCTGTTACACCACTGCACGTACAGTGATGCAGCAGCGTACTTCCATTCCCTCCCTCCCAGCCTCTCTGCTATTGTTGCCACACTTTTTATTTCTACTGTATGTTATAAACCCCACA